AAGAAACTGTTTCTACAAAATATATATATATATATATATATATATATATATATATATAATATGTGTTTATTATATATTTATATATAATATATTTATATAATATACAAATATATAATATATATTATAATATATAAATATATATTATAACATATATTATAATATAATATAACATATAAATATATTCATATTATATAATATATTATATTTATATTATATAAATATATTTATATAATATATAAATATATTATATAAATATAATGTTTATATAATTTATAAATACATATTATAATATATAATTATATAATAAATATATTATCAGGAGGCTGAGGTGGGAGGATCATCTGAACCCAGGGGATCAAGACTGCAGTGGGCCTAGATCATGCCACTGCACTCCAGCCTGGGTGACAGAGTAAAACCCTGTCTCAAAAAATATTGTTAATGATTACATTCAAAACACCTATGTACCCCCAAACAAAGATGTATTATTAATTTCTAAATCTTGACTGACTCTTTAGAGAGGTTTGAATCACAGAAAAACCTCAAAATAATTGTTTTTTCTATTTTCTGCCTAAATCTCAGGATTATTTTGAGGACCCAAATGAATTTACATGCAGACAGGCCTTAGGGTATTACAACTCTAGATTAGAAAGACCTGGTCCATGACGAAAGGTTTACATCTCTCCACAACTTCTAAAGAATGGCCAGAGAAGAATGATCAAGGGAGGGTGAGGGGTCCTGGGCAAGAGGGCAGGAAGGGCTCTGCAAAACCAGCATCTGCTGGAAACCCTCATCAATATCAGAAACTGTTTCAAACACATATAGATTAATAGAAGCCATCCTGGCAGGTGAAGGACACGGGTCTTATTTCATAAGCTATTAATAAAGTAAACATTTCCCCATAAAATGCCTACCTAACCAGGGAAAATAAATTATTTAACAGTAAAATTATTGTAACATCACAAAGATTCACTAACCAAATAGTGTCCTGATTCCAGGACAAAGTAAGTTTCAATAAAAAAACTCAAAGTCACAACAGTTCTATCAATCTGTGTCATCTCCTTGACAGTGCAATGTAGAATGCTACAGGACAATAAATGTTCACCAAAGACAAGGGGGGTCAGAAAAGACTCAGCAAGAGACAGAGATGGGCATTAAGGGATTGATTGTGAAAACAACTACCAACACTATCATTCAAATCTAATGAGAAAAAATTCATAGATGAGTACATGGAATATTCAACATCAGAGTCAGATTGAGACAACTGAATACAGGTACCAGTTATATGTTATGCCTGCCTTCTTTCTTTCCTGATTTGGAATGTGTGTTGTGTTCTGCTTCACACTAGTAATTTCCAACACTGGGTGTACACCGGAATTACTTGGAGAGTCTTTAACAAAGCACTGCATGCTGGGCCCCACCCTAGACCAATTAAATCAGAATCCAGAAACAGGCAAGACATTTGTGAAAGAAAAAAAACAAACCAAACCAAAACAAAACCTTCCCAAGTAGTTCTATAGTAGTCAGGGCTGAGAACTTTGCATTTAGACCCTTTTTATTTACCCCAAAATCATAAGTAGCTTTCTCCACATCACATGACAAATTATCTTTAAAACAAAGTTCCAGGATGTGTAGGAAGTAGTGAAAGATTCCTAACCCACATAAGTGCTCAAGTTTAAGCAGGAATACATCAAGTCCAGGGCATTTGCAAAAATAAAAAGAGCAAATCATGTCCTCCACAAACCTGTAAGATCTTGGGAATATCTAAGATGATTCTGTTGAGGTGAGAGCTTAGACTTAATACAGTATTTATATTGTATTCTCTCAAGAAATAGTATCACAAATACTAGGAGCAAAATATATTTTTCCATGAAAATTAAGATTTCTAGAGTTAAATCAAAGGAACAAGTAGTTTCATTTTTATAATGTGTTTAATACTCAGTGGAAAATGTTAACAGAAGATGTTTGTCTCATCATTGATTACCACAGACGGCCAATCTTGATTGTGTTTAATACCAAATAGCCGTTATCTGAGAAAACAATTCTGAATTCTAACATCAAGAATTTAAAACAACTGGGAAGTGGATTAAAAAGAGAAAAGAATTTAAATACTGAAAACAGTTTTCACAAGCTGCAAAAAGCTCAAGTTAGTAGTTACAAAACTTTTAGAGACAAATAAAGTAAAGATGAATTTGGAATATACAATATAACCCTCTGCATACACTTCCTGGCCAGCAAAGTCTCTAACAGGGAAAGTAGGATATGAAAAAAGAGAGTGACACAGGACAGAGGGGTGGGGCATCTTGGCAGAGAAAACAACACTTTTTAAGAAGCCTCTCCAGAATGCATTCCCCATCATGACAATACATTGCTGATTAATCTTGGGACAGTACATTCAAATGTCTCCCATTTTCCCCAGAAAGAGAGGAATAAAAATACTAATGGGCTGGGCACAGTGCCTCGCATGTAAAATCCCAGCATTTTAGGAGGCCAAGGCAGTAGGATCACTTGCGGCTAGAAGTTTGAGACCAGACTGGGCAATAAGGGAGACTCCATCCCTGTAAAAATGACAAAATAATTAGTCAAGCATGGTGGTATGTGCCTGTGGTACCAGCTACTTGGGAGGCTGAAGTAGGAGGATCACTTGATCCCAGGAGGTTGAGTGAGCTGTGAAGGCACCACTGTACTGCAGCCTGGGCAACAGAGAGAGACCCTATCTCTAAGACAAATATAGAACAAAACAGAAACTACTGATTTACATTGCACCGATTAAAAGGAATAAAGGATGTAAAAATTACAGAGTATCACACGAAGTCACCCATCACAATCACGATTACACTGACAGGAGGTGGAGAGGTGGCACCTACAGAGACAAGGCTAGCATGCATGATGGAGTGGAAGCCAGTGGGGAGCACAATTGCATACACAGAAGGGTTAAAACCCGAAGGACCGTTCAACTCAGCAGCAAACTAAAAATAAATAGATAATATTTTTATTTCTTTTTTTTGGATTATTTTATTTTATTGCACTTTAGGTTCTGGGCTGTATGTGCATATCATGCAGGATTGTTGCATAGGTACATATTTGGCAATGTGGTTTGCTGCCTCTATCCCCCCGTCACCTATATCTGGCATTTCTCCCCATATTATCCCTCCCCAATCTCCCTACCCCTTGCTGTCCCTCCCCTATTCCCCCACAACAGACCCCAGCATGTGATGCTTCCTTCCCTGTGTCCATATGTTCTCATTGTTCAACACCTGCCTAAGAGTGAGAACATGCAGTGTTTGTTTTTCTCTTCTGGTGTCAGTTTGCTGAGAATTATGGTTTCCAGATTCATCCATGTCCCTGCAAAGGACATGAACTCTTTCTTTTTTATGGCTGCATAGTATTCCATGGTGTATATGTGTCACATTTTCCTTGTCCAGTATATCATCAATGGGCATTTGGGTTGGTTCCAGGTCTTTGCTATTGTAAACAGTGCCACAATGAACATTATGTGTGTATGTGTCTTTATAATAGAATGATTTATAGTCCATTGTGTATATACCCAGTAATGGGATTGCTGGGTCAAATGGAATTTCTATTTCTAGTCCTTGAGGAAGTATCACACTGTCTTCCACAATGGTTGAACTAATTTACACTCCCACCGAGAATGTAAAAGTGTTCCTATTTCTCCACATCCTCTCCAGCAACTGTTGTCTCCAGATTTTTTAATGATCACCATTCTAACTGGCGTGAGATGGTATCTCAATGTGGTTTTGATTTGCATTTCTCTAATGACCCATGATGATGAGCAGTTTTTCATAGGTTTCTTGGCCTCATATATGTCTTCTTTTGTAAAGCATCTGTTGATGTCCTTTGCCCACTTTTGAGTGGTTTTTTTTTTTTTTTTTTGTAAATCTGTTTTAGTTCTTTGTAGATTCTGGATATTAGCCCTTTTTCAGATGAGTAGATTGCAAAAATTTTTTTCCATTCTGTTGGTTGCCGGTTCATTCTAATGATAGTTTCTTTTGCTGTGCAGAAGCTCTGGAGTTTAATTAGATCCCATTTGTCTATTTTGGCTTTTGTTGCCAATGCTTTTGGTGTTTTAGTCATGAAGTCCTTGCCTATGCCTATGTCCTAAATGGTTTTGCCTAGGTTTTCTTCTAGGGTTTTTATGATGTTAGGTGTTATGTTTAAGTCTTTAACCTATCTGGAGTTAATTTTAGCGTAAGATAATACTTTTAAAAAAAGAAACCTACACAAAACACAAGAAGGAAGGATAAGGACAAAAAATCGACACCAGTCAAGATAAAGAATGAGCAGCCTCCAGATTAATGCTTAAAAGGAATAAACAAGAATGCAATTGGAGAATACTAATGGAGGGGAAAAACTCCAAACCTAGAGCTTAAAGAAGTGGGTGGCATTCTGGTTAGAAGGGACAGATAATTTAATTCCATTAATTCTGTCAGGATTCCTGAGAGCATGGATCTATCCATGCAAGCCTCTGCCATGCAAAGCACATATGGTAGAATTTGAATAATTACAAAACAAGTCACACATTTGATCATTACACCAAAAAACATATAATTTAAAAACTCAAAAGTAAAATATGTATTATCAATTTCTAAGTTTAGCCTTATAGCTTGGAAATTCAAATGACAAAAAGGCCTATGAAGTGTAGGGTGTGTGTGTGATTCTTTACATTTTTCTCAAGGGAGGACTTAGGAGAAGAGTGCTGTATTTTATAATTTAATATACTGCCCTATAAGTAAATTGACAACAAGATATTCCAAGTAACACGATTAAGCATAAGGAAAGTAAAAAAGGAGAAATTCACAAACGGTGTATAAACAAAAATAATTAGCTTTCCAGAATACTAAGAAATCTGACTACTTATTAACAAAGAAGGAAACTCTCACTCTAGGATCTGACACTGAGTCTCTTTCTCCAGGTTTCTCCTCCAGGGTGAATGTATTCTTCTTGCTGGACTTTAATTAACTGGTGAAAATGAGTTACTGTACCTGTAACCAGAGCCTGTCTCCTACCACGGTCCTGCCGATGGCACTGCACTGGAAGGTAGCAAACCGGCCAGCGTTAACTTCCACATTCTGAATACGCAGGAAGTGGGGAGTCCTAGCTACATAAAGAAAAAGAATAAAAGATATTAAAAGTGAAGATTTGTAACTAATATATGTCTTTTTCAATCTATCTGCAATTTTTAGGCTTTCAATTTTGTTCACCTTGGTAAAAAATAACACTTTTGCTTATATGACCTTTAAAGATTACACTATAATTTTAAAAGATAACGTAAAAGCTTTTGTATGTTGTGTAAAAGAATAACAAAAAGCCAAGCATTCTGGAGTAGAATGAAACAGAAAGAAGATATTTTATTGTTCCTGCTGTGCAAATTATCACAGCTCAGCAGTCTTCTTGTAAGAACAGATCTGTATTAATAAAGATTATACTGAAACCTAATTGATGTTTTGAATGAAAACATATTAGATATTTATACCCACCACACGAAAAGAACAGTAAGAAGTTAAATGATGTTGTCAAGGAAGTTTTTTAAGCCAAGTACACAGCAGTACATAATATATATTTTAATACAACTAACTGGTATGCAGCATTACTTATGTAACATTTTTCAGCTACCAAAAAGACTATTCCTTTAGACATACTCTGTCGAATGATGCTGAGACTGCTACAGCATGGCAATGTTTGCTGATTCTTATTTCAAATTCAAAAACCAAGAAGAACTCCAAATGGTGAACACTATTGTCTTGTAATGTACATTGTCCATATAGGACAGCTGTTTAAATAAAGGATTATTCTATTTGATATGAGAAGCACAGACCAATTTCTGCATCACACTGACAACAGGTGTCCAGGAACTAGAATGATAATTCTAGGACTTAAATTTTATGACAAATTCTACTTTCAGGAAAACATTCCGTTATCATAACAATGATAGAGTGAAAGTGTAACAAAGCATGGAGGGTGGGCACAGAAAAGCAAGCAGAGGATGATCACACTTTCCGGGAGAGACGGCTAAATCTGGATGATAACTAGAATACATCTGTTACACCTTGCCAGCTTCCCCCACTGCCAATGTGTCTTTAGCCATATCTAGACAGCTTCAAAAAATGGGGCCCCGCTACTGGGTAGAAAAGATTACAAACTGGTGCTCAGATAAGCCTGGGCAGAACGTAATTAGGAATGGAAGTTGAGTTACTACCAAACAACAAAGAAAAACTTAATTTAATATCGTAACACACAGGAAAGCCCCATTACTAATTTGGAGGCCACTAATAATTCAGACAAAGTATTCTTGATGCTCAGCATACAAAATGTCCTAAGTGGCTTCCAACAAAGCAATATAAGCACAGACCACTGTTTCTTCATACTAATATATTAATATACAACTCTATGATCTCTGCTTTTCACTGACTTAATCAAATTACCCCTTGCTCAAGAATAACATAATTTTGTGGTTTTTAAAGATCTTTGTAAAAAGTCCCTAAATTGAATTTCTCTGTTAGCCTTTATTCCTGAAAAATTCAAAGACCTATTTGTTTTAGAAAATGGAACAACGTAACCTTTATTGGGTACTTATGTACCAGAAACTTTTCCACTGAGTACTCACAAATATTCTGTGAGAGATATTTTCTCCATTTCCAAGATGGGGAACACTTGTGGGTGCCTGGCTAGTAAGTGTCAGAAGAAGAACAAACTCTGGTATATCCAGTTCCAAACCCCAGGCTCGGTTTACGAAGCCACAGTGCCTCTCCCAGATTTCCCACCATCTGTGACTTTCCTTATCTTCATATAAGGGACATGAGCATTCTTGGATTTTTGTACTTGGGGGTGTGCTGCAACCAATCTTCCTTGGATACCAAGCGATGGCTGTATTTACTATAACCAGGGGATCTGCTGTTAGAATGTAACTTACATTTTTAATTTGGGAGTCAAAGATAACAATTGTGTAATATTCAGTCTTTCTTTGTTTACACCCACCCTTAATAAAGACATGTTGTACAGAATGAGTTATCACTTCTCCTTTGGAATTATTTTGTTCTTCAGTGTGGCTTTCTTAAGGACTTTCCATAGGTTGTTACTTCTATGGTGAGGTTAAGGGTGGGAATTTACACCTCTGTCCAAATTATATTTTGGGAGGGCCCTCCCCTGGAACCAACTGATTGCCTTTGGCTTAGAAAATAGTGTTGCTTGCTTGGAAAAATGACTGCAAGTAAAAATATAATCTACCTAAGATAATACAGTTACACTTCAAATGGAAACCAGATGAAAACATACAAACCTATTAAGTATAAACACTTTTATAAGCAAATAATCCTTCTGAAATATAAAACAATTAACCTAAATGGAAGATATTAACTCATTCACAGGGTAAATAAGATAAACACTGTGGAATACAATCTCCTAGATCAGTTTTCTCCAAGAACATGCAAGTCAAACATTCTGCTAATGTTGTAAGTTTTTTTCAGTAAATATTAAAGGCTTATATAATCTTCCAAACTTTTAAGATGCCTAGATTCCCCTTGTTTAGTGCTATAAATCCTAGACCCATGTTCAGGTGGCAAGCAGATTAAGGCTGATATTACTTTAAGATTTGGATTTCAGCATATTTGTGTTCAAGCATCAATACTTCCTTCAGTCCTTGACTATCTCTGAATATATGCAAAAGTTCTTAAACTTAAATCATCACAAAACTTTTTTATATGTAAAATACAGATTTTTAAAAGTACCTATTTTGCAGTGGTCATATAAACAATAAACAAGCTGATGCAGCCAAGGCATTCACTGTGCCTCATACTTAGCCCTGAAAAATGTTCCTTACTATTTCAAACAACTGATCTGTCATTGGAAACTGGAAAAGAGCCCAAGAAAAGAGCTCTACAGCCAGAAAAGTTTAGATTCCATGCTAAGCTGTATGCTCTGAGTCTTGCCATACTACTTTAATTGTAACATCAGGTGTATACCATCTTTAGAATAGAAATTTCAATCTATCTAATATTCAAAAAGAAACATATTCTCTCTCTCTCTCTCTCTCTCTCTCTCTCTCTCTCTCTCTCTCTCCAAATTTATAGGCCCATTTGTCTCCTGGGTACCCTTTCAAAATGCTTTGCCAGCTTTCTTCTAAAATAGGAGATTTAAAAACTAAGTATCTTCCATGAATAACAAATAGGTTCTTAGTACAACTCTCCTACCCTCTCATTGCTTCCATATTCTTTTGCTTCTTACTAAGAAAGAATAGAGGTTTTTGGTTATTAATTGATCTCAAATCAGCCTTTGATCCCAAAGCCAAGAATTATCATTGACCAAGATGTAAATCTTTTTGTAGATGTTTCATTATTATTGATTCTTCAAAGTCTACATAAAAATACTAGCAACAAAATCAAAGAGTAATTTGTGAGATCAAAGTGCAAACTGAAATAGAACAAGAGGACTATCTCCTAACCTCCTTTGCTTTAACTTACATTTTAACGTAATGACATAGGTTGAAATGTAGGGGATGCATGCCCAACTCCCAAGAATAAACAGAGTTAATATTTCTCCCTATTTGTTTTAACATATCATCACAAAAAAGGAAGCAGATTGCTGCAAAAAACAACCTGGTACTGAGAACCAACATATTTTGCAAACATTTTTTTTTTAATTTTACAATTGACACACAACTAAATTTCCCTATCTAGGATATCAATCATTTTTAGCTATTTAGAGGTTTACCATTAGCAGCTAACTAAGCCTAGCAAGGCTATCACAGTGTAGTGCCTAATAATAACAATAAATAGCTAACATTAATTAAGTCTTAGAATGTGGTAAGCATTGTTATAAGTTTCTTATATACATTAACTACATTTACTCTGTGAAAAAAAACATTATTATCTCCATTATACAAACGAGATTATAGGTCCAAAAAGGCCAAGTAATTCTTGTGTTAGAAGCAGAAAATTTTTCTCTTTACATATTTCAGGTCAAAGCTAGTTTTGTTTTCCTTGAAAGATAAGAATAGGCTTTAATGGAATAATTTTTCAAGTGGAAAAATAGATTCAACATTCTTATCAGAGAAAACTCAGCTATCCACTACATAAAAATAACTTTTAGAAGTCAACTCTATCTTAAGAATGATATTCCTTTGGAGAAATGTCCAAACTGAGTTAATGTATGTTTAAAGGGAAATGTCAATTCTGAGTCCATGCATCTCTCAACCAAAGCACATGAATCTGTCTTTATTTACAAGAACATAATTCCGAAAACAATTATAATTTGTGTTTTGTCACAATTGTTCTTATTTCAATCATACTGTTTAATAAATCTTCACTAAAAAGCCTAAATTTGAGAGGGGCAACCAACCAACGTGTGACTACACAAATTAATAATGGAAAGATTCTTTTTAAAAATAAGAACAATTTTGAATTTTAGAGGCCATATTGTAAACTTTGATATTTACAGAAATTGCTGACTTATTTCCCATTGTTCAAGTACTAATACAGAACAGTCTTGGATTTTGTATTCAATTTATCCAATATATAGCACATGGGTTAAGCGGCTTTATCTCTTTTCACTATATTATTTTGTTTTTAAACTGCCATCAAAATAATGGGGCATAATTCTGTATAATTTTAAGATTTCAGAATTCAAGGCATCATATATCCAAGCTAACTTTGTATAATGTTTAATTGCCACATGGCAACATATATAAAAGATTATATACCATGCCTAAGTGAGATTTATCCTAGAACTGCTAGGTTGTTTTAACGTCTTAAAATTAATCAATATAATATGCCAGAATATAGGATAGAAACCATGTAACAATCTGATAGAGAAGACGAATTTGGTAAAACTCAACAGCATTTAATGATTAGAAAAACAAAAACAAAAACAAAAACACTCAACAAACTAGGAAGAAAAAGGAAATTCCTTCCTAAAAGCAAGCATTTACCAAAAAACCACAGCCAACATCATGCTGAAAGACTTAAAGCTTTCCTCTTAAGATGAGGAAAAAGACAAGCACTTCTGTTCTTTTCACTTCTAATCAACACTGTACTGGAGGTTTTTTTAGCCATGGCGAACTGGCAAGAAAAATAATAAAAATCACCTGGGTTGGAAAAATAGAAA